TTCCTACCTCAGTGATTTCCATGTCTTCTTCCCAGGACTGACCTTTAAAGATTGGCTAGAGAAAAAAATTACTCATTAATAAAATTGTTCTGCTGGTTCTGCATTAACAGTTTTGTATGGAAGTAAATTGGAAATTCCAGGTGTGGTTGGGGGAGGTTTCATCAAATGTTCTCCATGGTGGGTAAGTTCACATGTTCATGTTCACGTGGAAACATAACAGCATTTTCAATTATGTATGAGAGGCTATTAAGTAGCTAGTCAGTACAGAACTATAGTTTTTCAAATTTGTTGCCATATTTTGATTCAGTGTGGTATTAATCAAACAATTTATAGCCTGCGTAGCGGCACTTTGGGGGAGGGGAGGGGAAAAACTAAAGCTTAACTGCCATCACCAAACATTTATATCTTTTAATAGATGTTGATCAATTTTGTTTGATGGGAAAGAGTAGTAAACTGCGTAGGAACAACCTTATTTATTCCTATGGTATAAATTATCCTTTTTAAACATATCCTCAGTAGTTGTTAAGTAGTTTTCTTACATGGATCTTACCAGTTGAAGCATTTCTATTCAGACATTAAGGTAGAATGAAGACATTACTATCATTATTTACCTGTGGAGCATTAGCAAAAAACTCTTTGAATGGAAACAATTCAGCAATTGCCGCCACATTTCCTTTCTGAAAATAAAAACGAATACATCCAAATGTACATTACAGCAGTAGAGAAACTAAATAATAATCAATTTTTACTCATGGATGAAATGAAGGATAATCCACAACCGGCAGAATAAAGCCTGGGAGTGGATGAACAAACAATGAATGGTGAGATAAAACAAAGAACGCAGCTCAAATGTAGAACAACACACATTGTTCACCATAATCCATGCCTTCTTTGTTTTTGTTATTTTGTCCAATCCCAAGCTTCGTTCTACCAGTGGACACCGACCCGAAATGAAACAACTCTTCTAGGAAAATGCTTAAACTCCACATTTACAGCATTCAAATTGGATTACCTGCAGAATTCAGCACCAATATACTACATGTGGTGATTAACAGACTTCCTTCAAATTTTGGAAACATATTTAATATATCATTTTTAGCAATGTATTTCATAAGGCCCTTTCTTTACCTCACTCCTCAGTTTGCTTTTGTATTCTTCCCAGCGTGAAACAACCTGACATACACACACAAAGAAAATAATTTGAGACAAGAGATCTTCTCCATGTCCTTCTACAAAGGTTCAACCTTGTTGCATGTAAGACTTTCTTCTCATGTCTCTCAACAAGTCTATACTATTAACATCTGACAAGGTTATGTTTGAAGTAATGCTGCATGCATTTATTTGATTCATGTTCTAGTTTTGTTTGTTTTTGCTTTATATTTTCTTTAGTCCCCCAATTATTCTACCACCATAAAACAAATAGAAATTCCAATTCATGGTTCTGACTCCCCCTAGTTACCGTTGCTATGTCCTACAAGCTCAACAAATTAGCTAGAATATCTCAAAATTTCAAAACTCTGATTGTAGAAAATTTATAATAAATTGTTTAATCTACTGTTTATTGTCCTTTGAAAATGAAATAGAATTGCCTCATAATCCTCGTAGTACTTTTTAAAACAGATACTGTGTAGTTGTTTGTGGGACAAGATTTAAATTCCAATGGGAAAACTGATTCAGTGGTGATTGGTTTGTTATTGTCTGAGAGGGGAACCATGAATTCAATATGTGAGGGTTTAATCTGTTGCATGTCAGCACTGTACTTGATTCAGGACTATAAAATACCAATTATTGTATTTTCATGTGAGCACTGTACTTGATTTAGGACTACAAAATACCAATTATTGTATTTTCAAATTATAATGATTTCTAACATCATAAATAAAAATCATCACCTGGTATAAGTAGAAATAGCCAGCAGTCTCACATGTGTATGACACATCACCATGGACACCAAAACTCTCCTGTGGATGTGATTAATGGAGCAGTGTTAAATAATTATTTATTACATAAGCTGTTAGGTGCACACTGAAATGTTTTGTCCTTGCTGTTGTCAACCAACGTTTTTGACTGGTGACAGTGAAAAACCAAATTCCAATGAATGACGTGCAACTACTTAGGTCAGGTAATGATAAAATCAGTTAAATGTTAAAATGTTATCATATGAATGAGTGTATCTGCGAGTGAGCAATATGATATGGAAAAGGAGAGAATAAAAAAAGATACCAGGCTCTTAACATGTAATAATTTGTTTTACATATTTAGGGGCTGATACAATAACAAAACTCAGTTTCCAGTTTCCAGTGAAGTGTATAAATAACTTTGATGCCCATGGTTTTTATTCACTGCTTTATCACATGCACTCAGGTTATGTGCATATGCACAGAAAGGGTTATCAATTCTGATCTCCTTGATCTAGTTTGCCTGTAAATTGTATGCCTGTAAATTGTATGCCTGTAAATTGTATACCTGTAATCTTTGGACTTGTTTGAGCAGTTCCAATCTTGTTGCAAGCACAAAATTAACACGTCCATACCTGATAAACATCAAAGGGAAATGCTTTTGTTATCTGTTTGTTATGAATCTGAACCAAGACTACTTCGATGATATGGTGACCATCTTGAATCGCAAGGCGTCATGGGTTGCACATGGGGCAAAACAAAACAAAGATGCTGAAATGACGACCCCATGATATTAAGAAATTTCCTCAGTCATGGACCTGTTCACTTATTTTAATTCATATTTGACAAATTGTCTTGTTGTATATGAACTTTAAATGTCAACTCTACACCATTATCGTAACAATGTTTAAATTGTATATTTGCCCCTTTAATGGACAACCCATATTGCCTTGTGATTTAAGATGGCTGCTGCATCATCGAAGTAGTCCATTAAAGCACAGTCAAAATGAATTTTCACTTAATAGTTTGTAAGCAGCATGAGTACACATCAGCAGCTCTGGCTAATGTGTGTTCTACATGCTGCATGTTAATATTGGAGGCTTGTATCAACAGGTGTGGATTTTTTAACACAACCTATTTTCTTAATCCTCCTTGTCTGATCATTTTAAAAACAATCTAAAGTTTTATTCTCAGGCCTACATTCACAGCCAGGTTTTAGTAGTTTCTAAAAGGCATGTATATGACTAGCAATACTATTACTGTATTTCATCCAATGCATTTGTTTTGTTGACCAAGCTACATAACCAGCCTTCTATAACAGATCTGTCTACTCAATGCAAGGGCACATCAAGGATTTTGGATAAGTGGGTTCTCATGGCTAACATACTGTTTGTTATCTTAGCTTCTAAAACTCATGAATATTTAATGAGAAGAAAACAAAGCAAATCACTACTGTGACAGTGGTTTGGAAATGTGTTCTTAATTTGCATTAAATTTTGTAAACTTTTTCTTTGATTTTCTCCAAGAACAATCATGAGTTTGAATTTCCAAACACCTCAAAGTCAGTTAAAAAATCACTTTTCAACTCACTTTTCGGTGTTCGGAAATTCAAGGAAGAACTCTCTCTCGCATGTTTGAAACATTACTTAAAAAGACCTCTAGTCAGTAGCGAAAGACTTTCAAAGCAGTTGTTTTAAAACATAAGGCAAGGTAATGAGGTTACCTGCTGAAATCCTTCTCTGTTTCAAGTGTTTCTTCACCGTGACCAAGACGTAACAAGTGGCGCTCATCAATATCTAGTGCCATGATTTTTTCAAAGAGTTGATTCAATGCCTACAAAAACACCAAGAAACATATATTATGTTATTTATTAGATTGCAGGCATTTCAACTGATGGTAATGCTGCCTTACAATGTCATTACCTTGAAATTAAATCTTATTTTTAATTTTGAGATCATCTAATCAAAACGAACAGTGCTATGCTGTGATTATGCCATATCCTTTATAGCATATTCATACGCTTTCAGTTCGACCCCGTTGAGCTGCGCCACTGCTGTACTTGCAGTGGTGATAAGCGATGATGATGACAAGTTTATTCCACTTATTGAAAATTTCTCTTTTATAAGAGATATTCAACTTGAAAAAGGCTTACCTCAGGTTTTGAAAATAACCTGCAGTAGTTATCTCACATTAGTCTACGTGTACACCATTAACAAATCAACACTGTTGCTAATGTTCTGTCACAGCTTGATTCACTTTCATTAAACATTATTATCAAGTTAAGAAAGGCGACAAGCTGACTTGACTCTCTGCACAGTGAATATTATATGAGACAAAGTCACCAAACCAGAATATGCCTCAGGCCTATTGTGCAGTTCTTTGCAATATTTCCTCTCAATTTGAGTATTGATTTCTATGACTTACCTGGTTAGAATGGGTTACCAGTAATGTTCTCTGTTCAGGGAAATTGTGATAGAGATTTGAGATGATCTGAACTGCCACATCTGTCTTACCAGTACCAGGGGGACCAACAACCTATCCAACAACAAAACATTAATAATCTAATGCTGAGAAATGCAATGAACAGCCAGATGGATAGAAAGGATGTGTTAGATTGTCTGATAAGTGGATGAATGGAAAGAAATGGAAGTATGAAATGGATGGACTAATGGCTAGATGAAAAGATGGGATAGTAGGTCTATGGATGGACGGATAGATGAATGGATAGATGGATGGATGGGTTAATGGATGCATGGAATAACATGGATGGATGGGTTAATGGATGCATGGAATGAGATGGATGGATGGATGAATTATTGGCTATATGGATGAATGAGATGGGATAGACAAACTGATAGATGAATGAATGAATGAATGAGCAAGTTGGTGGATTAATGGATGATATAAAGGGATAGATGAAACCAGAATAGGTAGATTGGTACACACAGTCAAGATGAACGGCTGAAATTGTGGAGGTTCAAGTGTTGAAGTACGAGAGGAGAAGAGAAAGAAAAAATGGATCAGTGAATACACTAGCTAGACCACCTGGATCTAAATGACTTACCATAGTCAGTCCTGGTTGCATCCCAGCACGAATTGCTTCAACTTGAGTTGGCGTGAATGGAACTGCATTTCTACAATTTAATTATTAAACCAAATAATATGTAAGGTTTTATAATTCAAAACTAATGCAATTGTTATCATTTTGCAACATCTTTGTGTAGCACAGGACTGAGAGTCAAACTTAATGTGGTGATAATTATTCAAAAGACCTACAATTTTCAACCCTTAATTCAAACTAACCACCATGGTCCTATGCACCACGAGGTTGTTACAGTGAGGACACTTGAACCGAGACAAGAATTCAAGTTTTTTGTCATTTAAAAAAATGTATATTGTAAATCATCCCTCTACAGAATCGATTCTATAAATACAGGGACTGCGGAGACGAGGGGTCTTTACCTTTTCCAATACTATAGTCTCTAATATTTTCCAATCTTAGGCCCCCCCCTTTTAGGGGTGCTCCGCAAGCCTAGCTAGAGTGCTCCGCAGCATGTGTTAAGAGCCAACAAACCCTATTACCTTTTAACAAACTATAAACTCTTATATTTGTATTTTCCAATCTTCCCCCCCCACTTTTTCCCATACTAGTCTCTTATATTTCCCAATCTTAGCCCCACCCCCAACTTTTCTGGAAGGTTTGCAGTCCTCGAAATAAGATTAATTTTGATCACTGTATTTGAACTCAATACTTCATTTCAGAGGGTTGGAGTATCCTCACTGTAATAGCCTAGCCTAGACTAGACTAGTTAGGGAATGCAGTAAGAAATTCAACCTACCTCTTGGGTTGGTTGAAAGGGTAAGGACCTCTGTTTGGCACTTGGAATGACTCAACAACAATTTCTTGCTTAGTTGAGCTTGGCTTCTCTTCTTCAAGTTTCCTCTTCTTTGAGGCACTGGTATCTGGGAATGTTATTCTGGAATAGAAAATATAAAAAAAGATTATAAAAACACTCCCAATGAAGCACTGCCCATGAATCACTGCCCATGAAGCACTGCCCATGAAGCACTGCCCATGAAGCACTGCCCATGAAGCACTGCCCATGAAGCACTGCCCATGAAGCACTGCCCATGAGACACTCCCCATGAGACACTCCCCATTAGACACTCCCCATGAAACACTCCCCATGAAACGCTCCCAACGAAACATGGAAAACTTGAAACACAGCATTTGTTTTTGATCTATATATTGCTTACAAAGTGCAGCACACAGAGTAGCAATTGACTTGTATCCCACCACCTCAATGTATGTCACAGCTATCATTCACTTACCTGAAGGGCGGTATTCTCTTTGATAGATCATCAGTCATGAACTACAGAGAGAATAAAACATAATATGATTTCCTTTATAAATTAGCATTGTACTGGTCATGACAGTGAAACCCCTGGCTATGAGGCACCAAAAAAAAGTTTTCCAATGGCTGTCATTAGTCAGATTATTAAACTATCAATGAATGGAGTCGAACGATTAATAAAAGTCTATACATAATATGACTAAAAGATTTCAAATCATCTTACCTTAACATCATACTTTGGGAAGGAATCAATCAGGTGTTGGTAATTCAGGAATGTGTCATTGAAGTTCAGTATTTTTATTTGGTTGGGCATTCTGTGGAAATATTCAGAATTTTAAGGTAATTTTATTACTATGTACATTTTTTTGATAAGAAAATTGTAATATTGTATATGTCTGATTTATATGGGCTTTACAAATGCCAAGGGATAACAAATTGGCTGCTAATCTTTTAAGTAACATATTGAGGATATAATGTGTGCTCTGATTGGTTAAATAGCATGCACATCCAAAAATAGATGATCCACACTGATCTGATTGAGCAGTGAACCCTATGTAATGAAGACTTTGTTAGAACAAAATTTGAATCTTTTTTCAATAAGCAAAGATTTTTTTATACTTTTGCTCTGTTATAAAAGCATTGGTTATTGATTATTAGCGTGCTTTCATCAAGTTTTGGGTGAACTTGGTCGGCTGCTTAAGCACTCAAGAAGCTAGAGTTGCATATTTGGTTGTTCCTCATGTGACTCTTACACTTCTTTTTTGCTTAGCAACCTACAGTGTGCCCCCAAGACTTGATGAAAGTACACTAATCAATCACTAATCATGTAATATTATTATTTTGTTTAATAATTATTGTATATCAAACCTGCTATAGTGAGCGGCAGTAGGATCATCATAACCAAGAAAAATATCATGAAGCCACTCAGGTACCACACATTCTGCATTCATCATATCCCGAATGGTTTCTAGTACAGCCTGTATTAGTTATAAAAAAAGAAGATTTAGTCTTATGAGAATCGTAACTAAGCATTCTGGTCACATTAAGCCACTCAGGTACCACACATTCTGCATTCATCATATCACAAATGGTTTCTAGTACGGTTTCTCTAGTACAGCCTGTATTAGCTATAAAAAAAGAAAATTTAGTCTTGTGAGAATCGTAATTAACCATTCCTGGTTACATTATCTTAGAGAATCATCATTGTCAGTCATAGCTCCAGTGTGAAGCACAGATCATCCACAAATCTTTATCATCCAGCATGTTTGAAGATACCAGACAATTCAGATTCTCTCTTGCGTGTACTATATTTGTCCTAGCATTACAGTAAACAAACAAATAGCTGCATATATATAATAGCACATACCAAGTAACCTTAAGAAGAGGTACTATTGTATTTACCTTGAAATTGTTCTCTTTTGGCTTTCTTCTCATGAGAATATTGAAACTCTCATACACATCCTGGAAAATTAAAAAAAATATGTTATAACATACATTACAAGTTTATGAGTCCAAAGATACCAGAGAACTAAAAAGTTATAATAATACTATACAATCCAATGACAGAGTAGTCTTTTAGATGAACTGTGCAATGAATTCTCTTATTATGCTAGCCCAAACGTGACAAAACTTCAAGTTGCATTTTTTCATGATCAAGCAGTACTTTTTATACATCAAGT